ATTCTTATTAGTATTAACTCTCTTAAAAAAGCTAAAGGTATATTATTTATTAATAAAATTTAAGCTTATTTTTACGTGAAATACGCTCTTTAAATTCTTTAAGTCTTTAAGCTATTTTAACTTAAAGATTACCGCGTAAAGAAATAATTAATACACTATAATTAAGTTTTAATTTTATATATATATAAATAATAGGCTATTTTATATTAAGCGCTTATTAATAAAATTACTTTATAAGAACTGCCTCTTAGTTTAATTAAAGTTTATACTATTAATAACTTAGCTAGTTCTTAATTTAAATATATTATTACTACTCTAGTTTATAGTAGTAAACTAGGTTTTATTAGGGAATTTAAGAGATTAAATATTACTTTATCTCGCGTTATACTAGGTTAAATAATTGTTATAAATAATAAATTTCTCGCTAAGTAAAATAGTAATCCTAGTAAGCTATAATAATATTATAAGAAAACTAAATTATATAAAGACTTAACACTTAATAATAAGTTTTACTATAATTATTTATAATTTAATTACTATAAAGCTTAATACCCTATTAATTTTATTTATTACGAATATAAGAGATAGTAAAAGGATAAACGCTACATTAAATACTCCGCTAAGAACTACTAAAATACTTATACGTATAACTATTTAATAAATAACGTTAGTTTTAATTATATTTCTAATAATATTATTTATAACCTCTTCTTCCTAGTTAAAGGTATTAATACTATAAAGCCTTAGCTTAGTAAGAAATAAAAAGCCTAAAGAAAACGCGCACCTCTCTTAATAGGCGAATAAGCTTAACGCGTAAAATAGCTTCTATAAGCTATTAGCTTTACTACTAATAAACTAAAGAGAGTACCTCGTAATAATAACGCTTAAAATACAACTATTAACGCTAACGCCGTAATAGTTTATAATAGTATTACGTGGAATAATACTACTAATAACACACCTACTATTAATAATAATACTTAAGCTAGTGCTACTACCACTTAAGATAGCGAGAATAATAATACTTAGGTTAATACTACTACCACTTAAAATAGTAAAGATAGTAATACTTAGGCTAATACTAGTAATAATAGCATTAAGTTTATTAGCTAGTAAGTAAATAAAATGAAAGATTAAAATAAGAAATTAGCTTTAATTTTACTTTAATTACGTGTATTATACATTTTTAACGGCTCTTAGCCTTTACATAAATTAAATTAATAAAGGAGGTAATTAAGTAATATAGAATTATTATACACTTTAATAAATGAGGGATTTAATAGTTTTTTCTTTTTTTCTTTCTTATTATCTTAATAATAAAGCTATTATCTTTTTTTAAACGAGGGGATATTAAAGCCCACATAATCACGTGTAAGGCACCAGGTTATTATTATTACGCTACCACCCTTTAGCTAGCTCTTCTTCTTCTTCTTTTACATAATTAACTTCTTCACTTCTTTTAGCTCTCTTGCAATACAACTTGTCAGTTGCATCACGAGCTCTTGTGACCTCGCTATAGCTCCCTTCCGTGAGCCCTCACACCACGGCCATCAACCGACTCGACGGGCGCCGTTGTGCAGACTCGTGAGTTGAGAAAACGATTCAAACCAAGCTTGTTGTCGCGGATATGCTGCTGCTGTTGCTTTTGCCGTAGGAAAAAGACGGTCGCGGCCATAGACGGCATCGGTTTCGAGGCGCAAAAGGGCCAGATTATGTGCTTGGTCGGGCCCAACGGTTCGGGCAAGACGACGACTCTCCATATGATGTCGGGCTTCATTAACCCAGCCGGAGGGTCCGTCTCGCTGGAAGCCGCGCCATCGCAGGTCAGTATCTGTCCACAGCGCAACACCCTGTGGGATAACCTGACGGTCAAGGAGCACGTCCGCATCTGGAGCGGCATCAAGTCTGGTAGCCGGTCTAGCCAAGAGCTGGAGCAGTTGATCGGGCAGTGCGATCTCTCCCCCAAGCGCGAGTTCAAGGCCAGGGAGCTTAGTGGTGGCCAGAAGCGCAAGTTGCAGCTGGCCTGCATGTTTGTCGGCGACTCGTCCGTGTGCTTGATCGACGAGTGTACGTCCGGGCTGGATCCCCTTTCGCGGAGAGCAATCTGGGAGATTCTCCTCCAGCAGCGGGCCAAGCGCAGCATCATATTCACGACGCACTTCCTGGACGAGGTCGACGTTCTCGCCGACCACATTGTTCTTCTTGCCGGCGGCAAAATCAAGTGTCAGGGCGCACCGGCTCAGCTTATAAAAGCCAGCACGGCGGGGGATATAAAGTCCTTGTTCCTCCGTCCGCGCCGGATCTGGGCCACCGGTACCCCCCTACGACGCACCAGGACAAGAAGATTGCAAAGCAAGAAGTGAACAGAATCGAGGGGATAGATGGAGTTTAGGGGTGTTACGTTATCAGGACCTATCCACGTCATGCGAACAATATCAGGAAAACCACGTCAATCATCATCCATTGAAAATTCTGAAACAGGTGGTTTATGATTCTGTGTTCGCTTCACTATTATTGCCATTGGCATTCTCCAATTCGGCGTTGGAGTAGCTAACACAAAGAGAGAATTATGGCCCGTATGGGCAACCCGTACTAGCCCCTCTTATGCCTTGCCTACACCCCTTGTTCACTTGTTGACCACCGGCTTAGCAATCTTTCCTTGATTCTTATTCCTTGTATACTTTGTATCCACCCTCCGGGGCCGGGTATTCGCCGTAGCCGCCCTCTGGCGCTGGATACGACCCATAACCACCTTCCGGAGGCGGATAACTTCCGTATCCACCAGCCGGAGGAGGATAATCACCATATCCGCCCTCTGGAGGTGGATAATCACCATAATCAACGGGGTTGGCCTCCGGGTCCGGTTCGGGGACCGGCGAACCGAAGACAGAAGCAACGGCCGCGGCGAGGAGAGCGACTAGTGTAGTCTTCATGACGAGAGTACGTAGGCTTTGCTGACCTCGAGTAGATTAGATAGTCGAGTGTGGGTTCAAGTGACTGAATTAATGAATGCAGTTTGTCCAGATGGATTTATTTTTATTGTTGAAGTGTTATTGTTCCTAGAGGAAGAATCCACGACATTTAAGTCTGGCATGATGGCCGTGGCAATTGCATTTGAGGTTGGTCCAATATCAGACTATTCAAGCCTTGCGGGAACTGTTCATCTCCGACGTTTAGCTACTTATGGCGGCGGTGACGAAGTGATATCAACCATGACGCCACTTCTATCAACGAGGCTCGAGACTCTTTTAGTCACGTCTCACTGCAGGACAGCAGTATGCTTCTACTAAGAGCCAGTATTTCTCAACCCGCGGAGGCCATGGTCATTCATGGGAACTCTTGGTTGGTCAATAGACGTAATTGACGATCATATGAGCCCTAGCATGCAAATTCGCCCAGTTTTTGAAATCAAGCAGCTCCTCTCCAGAGGGAATTCGGCAGTCGTCATGCAGCGCAGCCCAATAAGCACGGTGGCTGGTAATTATGCAGGTGATGGCTGTCAGCCATTTCCAAAACCGGTCTTTGATCAGGTTCAAGACCGGCATTACCATCCCCTTTTTCCTTCTGCCAGCCCTACCATCCGCAAAACGTTGTCGGACAAGCTTCAATTGCGGGCGGAGCTATTCATCAGCCGCAGCTCTATAGTTCCCGAGCTACCTGTCCGAAAACGCCATAGGGCCGAAGGACAAATGAGATCTCCGCCTACCCAGCGCCCGACCGTAATAGACACATCGAGGCCCTCGTATTGGCCATCTAGCGTCGCGACCGATGCCAAGTCAGAGGCTAGAAATAACGAGGTGCCACATTTGTCTCGGTAGAGGCATCCCGGCCCAACCGGCTGGCTGCAGCTGAGGGATGGGGAATGTCGTTTCTTATAGCTCTAAGCACTATGCAGGGAAATACTGGCTTTATTGGTGCAAACAATGATTAGCTTACTTGACTCTGGCAGATTGTCGTTGAAGCGGTGTGCGAGAGCTGAGACAAACATTCCGATTCTCCATCGAACAATGCATTTTATCGCCTCTCACAGGTTTCAGTTCGTCGCAGCACGGTGAACTACGATCAAAACACAATGTCCAAAGAGCCAGATCAGCACCGGTTATTACCGAGCAGCGCTGGCGATTCAGAAGATGATCTAGGGTTGTCGCAACACGAGGTGCTTGGACGGAGGAAGAAGTCGAGGTGGTTCGCCAAATCGTGCTTCTTCGCCTCAGTCTTTGTAGTCGCCTGCATTGCATCTTTCTGGGTTGGAACACGAGTATCCATGCGAAAAGCATCGGTAGATCAAGAATGCGCAGCATATGCTTCACAATGGTGTAAGCGACCTCAAGTCGGCCAGTGAGCTCTGCGGTGGAACTGATAGAACTCAGCTCCCGTCCTGAGGGATGTATCCGTTAAATATGAGACCCAAGTATTCAATGGCTCATTTATGAGAGAAAATATTTACAGGCAGCAGGGGTCCCCAGAGGTAGATGAAGCTTGGGAAGATCTAGGAGTGAACTGTAAGAAACAATGTCTCAAAACTCAATCTCTCTTGTTCTAATCCTCACAGATCGAGCCGGGATTATCTCGTACGAAGATGGTTTGGCCAGTGGATTAAATCCTTACTTTGTTCAGAGAGCAGCCAAGTACGGTGGAGGATTTCTCGTCAATGTGGAAGGAATGCATCATTTGCATTGTCTCGTTGGTCGCTTCTCCTGCTCAGATAACCTCCAAAAACTAACATCTTCTCTTCAGAACCTCGTACGAAAATCTCTCTACTTCAATTACGACCATTACAAGCAACTAGGCGAGCACGAGTTTGTAAATGAAGATGTCATCCTCCGCCCTCATATCAGTAGGTGCCTTGGCCAGAACCTCCCCTCGGGAGAATATCCTACGCCGTCCAAGAACTATACTTACCTCGAGGTAGCCCATTGTCTCGACGCCATTCGTCAAGTCTTGATGTGCAATGTTGACACGGGGGTGCTTGGTCAGGTGTGGGCGAATTCGGAGAAGCCATTTCCATTCCCTGACTTCAATACAAATCACAGATGTAAGAATTACGATGATGTCAGAGAGTGGGCAATGAAACTACAGGTAAAGTTACATCAGAGATTCAAGTGCATTGCCTGAACTGCTAATTCCACAACAGCGACCGCCTAACGACAGAATTCCTGCTGATTACTTGGCCAAACCGCGTCCAGGAGACGTTTTCCCACTGGTACCATGATGCAAGGCGTCCTGAGCCATCGTTTGCCGTACGTATCCCGCCGTATATATAGTGAACCTCCCATGATCTTGTGCTCTCGAAGTTATGGAAAAGGCCGCAATGAAGGCAGTATGTGTCAAATTCTGCTCAGATGGGAAACAGGCTCATCACTTGACTATCAATGAAGAGTGTCTAGGGAGATGAGAAGCCTCACTCCCGAATGATGAGAGTTACTTGAGCCTGGCTCATCCAGATATATGTAGCCTAGATTTTACGTGCTTGAAATTCGACATGTAGCTGAAATACTCACGCCTGATTCGTACCAGTCATGGTTACAGCCTGAGCCGCACACATACTTCTTTTTTCACCCTTCTGACAGCAAGGTCTCATCCACTCTGATGACGCTTGAATACTGAATAAGAGATGCAGCTGATAGATACCTATAGCTGTGACAGGTTCTTTCATTGACCCCTTCATCACTTGACGATCCCAGTACCCAAAACTCCTACACCTCGGGCAAACCCCTCTGCTTGTGAGCTTCTCTCACCTACTCTACAAATAATTCAAGGTACGAGAGGACGTTAAGAGCCAAAGTTGACTTCGAGCTAAGCCTAGCCGTTATTATTGACGGCACTTCACCGAATATCTTTAGAGGTATGGGTACTAGTAGGGTGTTGTGTCAGCCTCCAAGCCAAGGAGCACCGTTTTTTGTGTGTGTGTGTGTGTGTGTGTGTTTTTGTGATATAAAGATGATAAAGATGAACCAGTCCGCTACGAAATACCGATAACTTCACATGTTGGGCTATCCGGTTCATGGGAACCAACAGAGAGAAGCAGGGAGAGGCCTCGTCCGGCCGAATTTAGGCCGAAACTCGCTTATCCTCCGTCACGTGTATCATTTCTACAAGCTATGACCACTCTTTTCATATCATTTTCTCCTATATGAATCAAAAGGTTTAAATATCACGTAGCACGGCGCTTCAAAAACGTGCTTCTGCAGCAACACTTCCCTGCCTTCTCTTGAGCCATGGCGACGAATAATTCTCCATCAGCTTGGATGGAACCACAGGCATCACAAGATTCACATCCGTTATGCACTAGCACCTCCTCCATTGGGTCATTTCCATCCCAACTTGTTGGAGAGCAGCATGATACGTTTATACCAACTCCCGCAGAAAGTGGCCAAATATTTCACGACGGTATAGACACATGGAGTCATTTTTGAAGGCAAGCGGAAGCTATCCCCGTAGAGTTATGGCCGGCCGGGGCTCTGGATCCTTACATCGCCTTATTTGATGTGCCATGTCTGCCAGCAAAAGTGCCCAATGGCATACATCTACACGGAAGGCCACGTTGGTACTTGCCTCGACCAGACTGTGTTGAGGCTACTAAACAGGATGATTGTGATTCGTCAATCCTAAACGGACCGCGAGTTACCTTTCTACTGGGAACTGATGGCCCAATTCGGTGCGAGATCTATCCAGATGCGTCCACGATACTATCGGGCAGTATCCCGGGGATAGCATAGAGCCATGCCGTTTTCACATTATGTTGGTCTTATATCCTCTTAGTCCGGCTCTTTAAGATGCAAGGCCGGTAAGTTCGATACTCGAAACACCGTATATTCCCCAAGTCGAGGTGTAATGGGCCGGCCATATATCTCGACGGTGTATCGGCTGCACTCATTAGATGGCTTTGCGCAGTTTTGTACTACAAGATGGGCTCAAAGGCTGATAATAAGCTCTTCCCGCCCTGGGCTGCATGCTTAGCGAAAAATCCAAAACTGGTTACAACATCGCCGGCACCAATTGGAGACCTTACGGCTCCAAGTTCTTCAGGGGCAAGTAGCCTGCTGTTGGAGCTGTGTCAGTAATTTGATCTGAATATAGAACTATCTGGTGAAAGATTGACGACACTGCCTCCTTGCAGGGCGGGTTTCCTCGCCGCTCTCATGTTTCCATTCTACTGATTTTGTACCATGACGCCTCAGTTTCCGCAACCCGATATGCGTCCAACAGTAAATAACAAGGACCCGAGGAACCATAAGAAGCCAAGCGTCTTGGAGTATTTGCGCGACATTCGGTATTTCATGTCACTCAGCATACATCCACCTTCGCTTGGGTCTGTTCTATGGAGCGCTCTTTGGCAGCCTGATATTGATTGTAACCTAGTGAGTCCGTGGCTGGCTTCGTTTATAAACATACTAGACCAAACCATCAACGGCGGGAAGCTGGAAATTCTAGTCAAAGCTTTAGCTCTTCACCGGCCAAGAGTGGGCATTTGGTGGCTTGCTCTATTCTTACTCGGCGACTTGTCCATCTTTCACTGGTTTCGACGATACGCAGAAACTGTAGTGGAGGAGGGTGCTTGCGCGACATTTCTTCGCCTGATCCAGTGGTATCTGCCTGGACCGGGTCGAAACAATCATTCCTGGACTAAAAGAAGACGAAACAATAAAAGGGACCAAACGACTTGGTATCCAGAGAAGACTTACTTTGGTTTAGGCTAGTTTTCAACAGGCAAGACCGCTACTTCGCCTCCCTATCTCGGCGGCCACTTGGACACATCGAGATACGAAACGTGGAGGTGGAACTCTGGCCATACTTGGAGAGTGACTACGATTGTGTCTATGATTCGTTCGCTTGGTATCAAAACGGCAAGCTCCTTCATATCAGCCGCGGCTTCCGATCAGAAACAGGCCGCCACGTGAAATGCGTACCAGATGACTTGGAGCGCCGCCGGTCCGAGGCCAATTGTGACGCCGGGTGTCAACATGGTATTAAACTTGAGCCTAGCAGAATCTCTAACTTGAAGATGTTGCCACTAGCAGTATATGATGCCACGGGCCGTCGCCATTGGGCGAATGCCGCACCGCCCTTCACAAGCCTGCAACACTGGTGGCGCGCGACTGGCAAGGACTGAATTTTTTGGACGGATCTATCGACTTGAACCATGCGTACAATGCTGCAAAGCCACCATCGTGGTTTCTGCTTGATTGGATTCGCCGGCAGACACAAGAGTCGCAGGCCAATGTATAACGAGATGTGAACCGTCGGGGGTGATTTATAATAGTTCTAATAATTTATAAGACAGTAAAACAGTATTTTGAAAGGCATTATTTAAATATTCAATAACAGAAATATGATTCATGTAAAGTGAACTATCATAAATTTGATCGCCTTTAACTCGCTTTATACTCTACACGCACACACACAAATATATATATATATACGTTTAGTACTGGAACCTCCACCGAGCATCCCCATCACCTTTCCAGTCCTCTGCTATTCCAACGTCCACAATCTCGTCAGCAACTTGCGCCCTCTGCAAATTCTGGTTCTTCAACTTCCACGCCAGCACGCTCACTACAGCAATGTTTGCAACGAGATACGCCAACGCCGTGGCATGACCAACAACAAACCTCGGTCCATGGTTGGATCGGTACAGCTGTGTACCCAGAACCGCACCTATATTTCCGATGCTAATTTGCATAGCGTTTGCCGTGGCTCGCTTCGTCTGGCCCGAGACATTGATGGCAGGCCAGGAGAGAACCAACGCTGTAGCAGGATAAATGCCCGCAGCGGCGAAAAAGGTTCCCACATACGATATGGCCGGCCGGGCATTGGGATCTGTATTAGACAGGAGGATGATGTAGCCTATTGCAGCGACGACGGCTGAAGCCGCAATGAAGAGTGCGCGTCTAGCGAGTCTCTCCGAGCATACGGCAACAGCAAGCGTTGTTACAAAGGCCAGTGCGTAGGGCGGAATGGTCAGGAGCTGTGCCGTCGCTGCCGTGTAGCCTAGATCCTTGATAATGGTAGGCTGATTCCACAAGTCAGTTACACGCGCGAGGAACTAATTCGAACATGATGGATCGAGGCTCCAACATACCAGAAACAGAGACAACGTATACAACGGCAAGCTCATGGTATGGAAGCCCAGTCCATAGAGCCAACAGTTTGGATCACGAAACGCGTCATAGACTGCACTCCATGTAAACTTTTCACGGTGGGTGGCATCGCTATCCGCAGCCAAGCGAGCCTGGATAAACTCCTTTTCTGGCCTTGACAAGAACTTGGAGGACTCGGGGTAGTTTTCTATGAACCAGTATGCAGCAAAGGCGATGACGATGGTGGCAAGCCCCTCCTGTGAGTTTAAAATTGTCAGCAGTCTGCTTGATTCCAATGGCAAAGGCGGCTTTCACTTGCCAGGATAAAGATCCAGCGCCATCCATTCGCCCAGACTATTCCTTGCATCTTGCCTATGCCCTGGATCCTCATACTGTCAGCCCCCTGTGAAAGCAACAAGACTAATGTCATGAAAGACCATCATGGCAAAAACTTACAAAGGCAAGAATGCCGCCGAATGCGCCGGCAAGAGAGGCAGCGCTAAAGAAGAGCGAAATGCGGTACTGTCTCTCTCGGCGCTTATACCACATGGAAAAGTAAAAGACTACGCCGGGGAACAAGCCGCTCTCTGTGACGCCGAGGAAGAATCGCGCCACAAGGAACCCGGCCAGGTTGTGTACAAGGCCAAGCAGCGTAGCCACAACTCCCCAGGCTATCGTGAGTGTGGGAAGCCATAGACGCGGCCTTGTCCGCTTGAGTATGATGTTGCAGGGAATCTGGGAGCCGTTAGAAAACGCGCCTTTGCTTCCATCAAGCTGCACCTTGCCTCAAAGAGCACGTAGCCGATGAAATACACCGTCAAACCAGTAAGATATTCGTTGCCGGCTTTGTCGCAACAGTCAGTGTTTCTTCATGACGATTCAAGTGTTTTCAAAACGGCAGAATGGCGACACGTACTTGCATTGATGTCATTGAGCAGACCCTCGATACGAGCGTTGCCCACTAAGGCATTGCGTTAGCTAGACGATTTCTCTTCACCCATGACGAAGAAGATTGGCTATCTTTATATTGGCTCACCATTGCTGCGATCGAGAAAGGAAAGCAAGTATAAAATTCCGACCGCAGGCAGGAGCTTCGCGTCAATCTTACGAAGCAGCAACTTCTCATTGATTTCTTCTGTAGCACCAGGGCCACCACTCGGTTCAGACGGTACATGCACCTTTTCCGTAGATGAATCTGCGGGGAGATTGGCCATGGCGGTACGAAATAGACCTTTTCGGCTGAGGCAAGTGTCTCACTTCTTTGGGAGTGAGTAAACGTCAAGGGCTCTGAGGAACCGGTCTAGAAATATTCGCTCAGATATTGTAGATAATGCTGCATGAAAAGGCAATAGACGTGTTGCTAAGCATCCATATCGCGTGCAAAACGCAAGGTGTTACATGTTAGCATCCAAAATGGGTATAACACCATGTCGCCATTTCAAGTGGATTTTCCGTGCTGAAGATCAGCACCCAATCATGGTGCTCCTTCACCATGCTCTGTCGACCGAGACGGAATTCAAACGTCCAGAGGAGGTGAAGAACCGCAGCAGCAATGACGAAGCCGGCACATCTCTGCTCCTGCGGGTACGGAGGGCTGGCGTCATATGCCGGCATCGACATCTTCCGCCCGTTTTTCGCCCGACGGCTCACCTAGAGCCAGCGCTTGGCAACTTTTGATACTGATGCTTGAACTATGCAGTACAGGGACTTGTAGCAAGATGACGCAGTTGAGTAAACATAAAATGAAGTCACAGATTCAATGAGCCAGCAATGTATGGGATATTGTCTCGGGCACCTTGAAGAGTCCTGACTTGAACTCTCAAACCTCACTGTGCGAGAGATGCCAGCAGAGCGATACTAGGATTATCAAAAATAAGTTGATATAAGTGGTTAGTTACGGTTCCCTGGCCTAGGTACGGCCAAAATACAGTGTTTCTAATGCCCTCCACCTAGCCCCTTTTTTTGATTTTTTTTTAATGATTTAATAAGCTGATATAATAGATTATTACTATTAGTTACTTTAAAGTAGAAATAACACTAATCGTCATTTCTATAAAGTATATCACTTATTCGTTTAATATATATAATACCTGAATACAATTTGTAAATATAACTATTCAACTACCCGCGGGCGTTCCATAACTCTAAAGTGATCGAATACCCATGACCCCTACTATAGATATTCAAGTAATGCACGCACTGCTGTTCAAGTAGATAAATAGTCCCTACAGTGCCTTTAGATATATCTACTAGCGCACAAATATTGCTTACATTTACACGCCATCAGGGACTGCATTACAGCCACTTCCATCATAAAAAAGCCAACCTACACATCCAAAGCCGTGTATGGCGCAGCTTATACATGAACACATTTCTGAAATAAAAAGGCGTTCTATAGTATATATACTCATCATTTCATTACATAAACTATTTCAGTGTTTAGTTGCATCAGTATGAGGCGTGACCTCAATCCTCAACTTGGAAATATGTACAGTTAAGGATTAAGTGACGGCCCGGAATCTATGTACAGTGCCTGCGCGCAACTGTAAATCTCCCCGAGTCTATTTTGGCAGATCCATGCAAGCAACAAGTTCGTTCTGTCGTTTAGTGGCGGATGTACGGCTTTGATGTATGAGTTCAGCATTTCCCTGCCAGCCCGGCCACACAAAGCCAGCGTCGCAGTGTGGCTTGTCTACATCTACATAGGTGGCCGATGCCGTTGCAGTCTCGGCCTGTTCCATTCTCAACTGAATCAACTTCAGCCGGTACACCCACGCGGCGGTAATAGACCAAGACGCCATCTTGCCAATTTGCTCACACCGTTCTTCAGTTACGGTGGACCTCGACTCGGGAGATCAGATCACGGTGTGCTCCATTTGTCCGCAGCAACAGTGGTAAATATTGTTGTTTGTCATTCTGTTCTAGGAGCTAATAAACAAACAGGGGGGTATTGGATTCTAGTCGCCGACAAAAAGACTAACCAAATACACCGTTCCTCGCTCGATTTGCTGCAAGGCCAGTTTCAGTACGTCGGTTGCGTTCTACGCTTGACTTGCCTGAACGTGCCGATGCGGGGATTGATTTGATGGAGGGACGGTAGAAAGCGAAGGAAATACAAAGGTGCCGCGAGCATCTTCCGTGCCCATCATCCTCTCGAAAGATTCGTTCGACGACTGATTGTTTAGTGCCTCGGCCTCGGACAGCCACGATTGGTGTCTCTTGGACAATGAATGATGCCTCCTGGTCGACCCGCCGAGGAGCATGCCGGCAGTTTTGAGTTTAGTTTCCAACACCAGTGAAGTTGCTGGTTTCTCTGCAGGAGAAGAAATGTTCCATTCGCATGCCAAAACTGCGAAGCGAACATTGTCTGGGTTTTTATGATGGCAAAGCGGGCTATTCATAGCGTAGCTTACAAAACTTGAGCGAAGCCATTCCGTTATTTGCAATATGTTCTTCTTAATGATCCACTCTTCTTCGTTTGCTTCGTGGTACGATCTGTTGCCTGCTTGAAAACGCTTTGTGCGTCTACATTTTGTCAGCAGTGTTGCGCGGCACGCCGGTTGCGAAGGTTAACTTGCATGGTTGGGCCCTTTACCGGCGTCCCGTCATGTTTGTGCTGGCATCTGCCCTTGTGCACAATGAAGTAGTCTATAAAGAAGAACTCTTCCAAGTTGGGGAAATGCCGGGCCAGCAGCTGGTAGAGGTGGGCTGGATAGACGCCTCTGTGTATCAGACCGTTGCTTTTCCGGCACGAATCGCACGTGCACAGCTTCTTTGTAGGCCACCATGTGTGTGAGAAGCGTACTGCGACTCGCTTTATGCGAGCGAGGTCGGGACAATCCGGGATTGTTTCCAAATTGCCGCTGCTTTGGTAAAGGCTTGGCGGGAAGTAGTCCAAGTAGATGAGGTCGGATGATCTTCCCAGAGAGACGATGCTCCCATTGCCCAACCTCAGAGTTTCTGGTCTATCCGCTAATCGCCTGGCGACGTTGCGAGATTCGACACATGTCCGTGACAATATTGCAAGCTGCCTTCGCAAAGCTTGGTACTGCGAGACATCTGCCCTGGGGCATGGGCCAACTGGTATCAAGCATGCTTGATGTGACTCCCTGGGCACTCTGTCGTTCTCCAGAACCGTGGGCATTTCCTCTCCGTCCTCAGTCCCTTCCGTTTCCTGCATTGTAAAGGCATCTTGCATTCGCCTCTCTGTCCAGCTCCAATCTCCTTCTTTGGTCTGCAGCTTGAGGAAATGGACGCCCGGAGTAGACAGATAGGTCTCCCAGATTCTTTGCCGTACCTCAGGCGGTAAGCGCGGGAATTCTGTGAATGTTCGACACTCTTCTGGAACGTAGAATTTGATCTGAGTCGGACAGACCATGGCGGCTAGTGGATTTCCGCGTGCGGACACAGTAAGATGTTCGTTGCCCAGTACCAAGTAGCCGGGCGCTGGTCGCTGAAATGGGCCTAGGAATCATGCATTTGTCTTTGGCGATTGTGCAACTTGAGTCGACTGCTTGCACTCGTGTTGGCGGCTATCACTAATCATGGGAATACGGCCACGGTGAGTGAAGGCGCGGCGTCGGTGTGGACTGGGCGGTCGGGGTGTGGGTGATGGTGGCTGCGCGTACGACTTAGTTGGACTAAACAATTCAGGGCGCGAGACGGGGAGAGAGAAAAAAAAAAATGATAAAAGTAACAATGGAAGAGGTTGGGTAGAAAGAAGGATACTGCAGAGCGTCGCGATAAATCGAACCAGGCTCGACTTCACCAGCCTTAGCAAGTCGAGTGAAGAGCTCCTGCACTGTTTCTCGCTGGGGGCTTGATGCAGCGCCCATGTGGCTGCGTGCTGCCAGCATTTGAACCAGCCTGGCGATTCACAGTGCACATGTGAAGTGTTGACAGCTGCTACGGAGCATAGTCTGCGCCGCCAGTGGTCTGGTGCAGCGTTTAGTGGGGCCCAAGTGCGCAAGTACCCAAGTGCTCAAGCCTGGCGCCGTCTGGTCCATGGTCCGGCAGGCGGTGGCTGCCTGACTTGGCCTGACCTGGCCTGACTGGGCCTGACTAGGCCTGACCCCAACACAAACCAAGCCTGGGCACTACTTACTAAGTATGTTGGCCAAATTCTGCCGTTATGTTGCGAAGCCGCGTCCGAACATTCAATTGCCTCCTGGCTGATCAAAAACGTCCAATAAAAGCATCATTGACCACTGCTGCTGATGCCCTCGTACGCTCCTCAGGGCCGCGGACCGGCACTGACAATGATGAAGCAATCGTCCTGCCGCGGTTGCGTAACGCATCACGACCTGAACGCACATTGACTCGCAGGGCAGGCAAACTGCAACTCCATCAGCATCAGTCCAGGTCGCAGCTAGCTCTCTTCTATGCATGTTAGGCACCTGTCAATGCACCATCCATGAGTCATTTAACTGTCGCTGCCCGACGCCAGAGCTGATTTAAGCCAAGGTGAACCGGCGTCAGCCAAATCGACCTTGATGCTTCCTACCCTTGAGTACGTTGAAGAACAATAAACCCATTTATTTCTAACGAACTCCCTGTGCCTTAAACAACGGAGAGCATCATCTAACAAGCTGACCAGCGATGCTATTCTTGGTGGTAGTACTCATACGCATCCTATAGGTAAGGTCAAGTGCTCCGAGACAACTTACCAAAGAAAGGAAACCACGCCCCTTTCTGCTTACGGACAACGCAAAATTCCAAGACGTTCTTCCCCCACGCTTCTCAAACTATTATTCTTGCGTCGGCAAGACGAGTCGGCGCATTTCCCTCCGACAGAATGCGGCTGGATCCGCCGCTACCACGACACAAATGAGGCTGGCGGAACGACTGGCAAGGAACCACGGTGGCAAACTCTTGTCCGGGGGGGAAACTGAACATTCTTTGGCGAAGCTCATTTGTCCATGGCTGATTAGCCAAACCCCGACACCGAGAATGTTTGCTGTGTTTGTTGGCGGACTGACTGACCCACGCAATGCAGATATCACCCCCGGCCATCCTCGAGATCCAGCTACACCAAAACCCACCATCATGAGGTAGTCGAATGTTTTTATTCGGTCACTCTGGTGGCTTGTATCTTGTTCATTGTTCATTTCCGGCAATGAGCCCATTCTTACAACGGCGGTCAGGCCACCTGTCTTGCTCCCAACGCACACCACCACATTCACTTGCGCCTTTGTGCCAACGCATCATGGCAGTTCAATCTAGGCGAAGCGAGGCTTCAGGCTTCCTGAAACCGAAAGAAACAAGTTGCCACCAATACGATGGGGTCACGGCGGCAGAACATGAACAGAGTAGAAAAGACGTCTGTTGGCCATGGGAGTTGCGAGAGTGGCTACGGGCACCGGCTACCCTGGTACATGCGTCGCGTGTAACCGAATTCGCCCAAAATCCCCTTCTCCTCTTCCAATTCTCTCAAGGCATCACACTATTTTCTCTTTGCGGGCGCCATTTTGGTGGAGGTTAGGCGCCTAGTTACATCATATGCAGGTAAGCTTGGGCTCTGGCTTGTTGCGCTTCTGCTTCCCTCGCTTCTGCTTCCCTCGCTTCCATCTGTCGTTGTCAACAGCAATACCGCCATTACGCAAATT